AAAAAAAAAAAAAAGAATAACTAACTTGAGGCCTTATTCTTCCCACCTGGAATCCACATGCACTCTAGAAACTCTATGAAAGCCCTATTGGCCAATAGTGTTCAGTGTGTATTTCTCCCACCCTTGTCCCTCTCCAGCTCTATACTGATCTCTATATTCTACCAATCTATGAGAAAGAAAGTTTTCTGCAAACCTTCAAACAATATACAAATGTGAGCTATGATTGTGGTAATTGTTTTATCTTTATTATCTGCATTTAATACTGGTGGAATAAAATAGTCTTTCCTGATTTTGGTAGTTTCAGAGGAGATACCAATCTCAGTAGTGACACTTCCTTCTCCTTTAGGAAATGTTGTTAATTTAATTTGTGTACTATAGGCAGTCAAAGTCTTCCAAATACTAGGTCTGCGGAGAGGTTGTATGCTACACTTTTCGTTGAAGAGCAATAAAAGAAGTAGCGAACATTTTCAAGTGTTTTTTAATGTCTTTATTGTTGGGAAGTGGAAGAGGGGGTATTTATAAAGAGGTGAATTGGGGGTGAGGTAGGGAAAGAAGACAGGGGAAGTAATGTCTGCTCAGGACCAACATGAATTCTAGGTGGATTAAGTAAATATCTAAGTGGCATACACACACACACACACACACACAGACTGAAGTTTTCCAACCTGTATTAAGCTGCTGTGAGTCCCAACAATATGAAATAATTTGGTCTCATAATTTGGGAATAATTCAATCCTTCCAGGTATTTTCAGATGAATTCAATGCCCCAGGACAGCCCTACCTCACTCTCCTAAGCCTAGCTATGGGATGTCACCTCCCAGCAAATGAATACTGCCTCTGAGAGCTTCATCTTGTGACACTACTGTGAAGAATGAGGGGTAATTTCTGTTCAGATTCATGACTCCAAACAACATTTAGGTTCAGGACTTCTCAAGGAACAATGCAATTCTCCTTATCTCTTATGTACTGGATTTCTATAACATCTTTTCACCACAAAGTTCAGGCTATCCTGCCCATAAGAGACAGTATGGACATCATTAATAACTGTGCTCAAGAGTGAGTGGCAAAGAGAGATATTCAAGGGGGGAAGGTAGGGAGAGAGAATAAGAAGACATATTGGGAAAGCAAAAGTAACTGTGGTGTCAGAGAATAAAAATTATATAAATTGGACCTAGTATCAGCTTGGTCTGCACAAAGTGCACCTTGATCGTTGTACTAGGAAGATCATAGATTTAGACCTGGAAGAGAACTGAGAGGGTTTTTAATCCAACCCCCCTCACTTTACAGATGAAGAAACTGAGGCTAAGTGAAATGCCCATGGTAGTAAGTGGTAGAGATGGGATTTGAACCTGGGTTCTCTAAATCCCAAGTCATTGTTCTTCCCATTGTGTCATGTTGTGTTGGAGTTGGTTTAATTACGCATCCAAAATCAACAAGAAAGATCTTTTCATGGGATACTTGGTCATTTCATTTTGCTGGATTTGTGGTTAGCATTTGTTAAATGACCATTATGACGATAATTACAGTTTATACGCTAATATTTGTTGCAGAGAATTAGGAAATCATGAAATACTATTCAGAACTCATTAAGATTCTCTAAATCAAGTTAACATATACCTTCGTACCTTCTTTCTGGCCCTCACCACCCTCCACAGATGTTATGGTGGAAACTTGATGAGTCAAAGGGAACTGTCTCACACAGAACAAAAGATGACCCATAGGACCAGAGAAGGGTAAATATTAAATTTTCAGATAACAGAAGTGGACGAAGTCTGCAAACTCCAGGCCAATGAGGTTGACCTCAATTCCTGACAAAATTTCAAATGTATTAGTTGAGGAACACTGCATAAATATTCAGAAAGGGAAACAATGATCACTAAGAACTAGCATGACTTCACCAAAAATAGATGTTCCTAGACTAACTTCATTTCTTATTCTGATATTAGACTGGTAGAATAGGGGAATGTTCTAGACATAGTAAACCTATCTTTTAGTAAAAGTCATTGGGCTTAAAAAAAACACCAATACTACCAAAGTATGAGTCACATTAATACCTCAATTGGATAGTTTTTTAAAGGAATGATTTAATATTATACATGTAGATAGTTATTTAAAAGGAATGATTCAATATTATACTTTTAGATAGTTGTTTAAAAGGAATGATTTAATATTATACATTTAGATAGTTGTTTTCAAGGAATAGTTTAATAGTATACATTTAGATAATTGTTTAAAAGGAATGATTTAGTATTAGACATTTAAATTACTTATATAATTTGTTCAGTCCCCTTTCTATACATCAGAGATGTCAAACACTCCACCACACAGGCAGCATTATTCCCCAACACTCCCAAGTGTGGCTGAACCAGATTAAAATGTAATTAGGAAATAGTTAGCAAAATAAATCAAAATACAATAGACCATAGATAATGTTAATACATATGTGGATTCCTAAGTCAATTTGCCACCAGAAGGTATCCTTACTGATGGATTAGTGGTCCCATTTCTATTTGAGTTTGACATCACTGGTCTGCACCTGCTTACTGTACTCTTGAGTAAAATAGAGGACCATTGAGTCAACCAAAAAGTCTGGGAGTAACTTATTTAAATGGTTGTCTAAATTGCATATTTCTTTGCAGGGCCAGAATAGGAGAAGAAAGGTGACTGATTCTGTTTGTCACAACAGGAAGACTGAGATTTTGAGAGAGTTCAGAAATTCAGCTCTCCCTAGTGGTCTACTTTAGAAGTGAGCTGATGACTATGTTTTACCCCAGAGCACTTTCTGAGACTTAGATATTATGATACAGGCTGAGGGTACAGATGGAGGAGGACTGGACTTCCTCCATTTTCTTTCACAAGTCTCTAAACCAGATTTAACAACTCTGGGAGTAGCTTGTCTGTCCTTTACACAACTAAAGAAATATAATAACAGAAAGGCCATGTGGATATCCTATAACTACTTTAAATGAAAAGAATGCTTCATTGATTATTTTCTCTGACATAGCTAAGAAGTGCCAAGTTTTAATGTATAATTTTAGCCAAGAACAGATTATTTGGCCTTTCAATTCTTAAAAAAAATAACTTAGAGACTGCAACCAGATATCTCCCTTTGCCAAGCCTACTGGGCCAATTTCCTTTGAGATGGGTGTTTGATTATGCATTGGCTTGCTTTCCTAATATTTGTTCTCTGAGGGAGGCAATGGTGATAATAATGAAAGTTTTCACCTATTCTGTGGTTAAGATTATAGCTAGAACACAGGAGAGGGAATAAAGGATGTG